GCCCGTTGACCAACAGGTATACACAGCAGCGAAGCGAAGGTTTTATTATCAGTATTGCCCAATAGTAACGGGCGGGTCTCCTTTGCTTTTCTCTGCGCGCCCCCCAGGGAGTCGCCCTCGAGATTTTTGGAATGGAAAACCGTGGCCCCATGGTTGAAGCCTCCAGGAAGAGAGTGTCCAGACATAACACTCAAATATGCCTGGTATAAGATATCCGTACACTCGATGCTACACTTTGCCCAGCCTGAGTACGGCGTCTTTCCCGCGATGAAGAAAGCCGAGCATGTTAGAGAGCGGAACAATCCAGTTGATCCCAGGAGAAACTTTCTGGCAGTGAGCTAGTGGCATCTCTGTAATGTGCGGGGGGGCACGTTCGGCGCATCAGCGGCGGTGTGCGCGCGGCCCCAGTGTTCAGCAAGTCGGGCGGCGCTGCCCTCTAAACTGGTGGGCGCGCGCCCTTGGTTGCCCAGGGTGCCTACGAGCGAAATGCGCCTGTGCTTGGGAGACCAGGCCTTCAAAAGTTTGTGCAACTTGACTGTGCGCTCGTCGTCGTACTGGTACTCTGAGGACTGATCGTGCTCATGGAGCTCGAGAACCAGGATGCGCACTTGTATGATGCGGATGTGCTCGTGGAACCTCGCCTGATCTATGAAGCGCGCGTGCTGCTCATCTGTGAACTGTGCGATTTGGTCGCATGCGCGTGCGCGCTTGCGTATGATGCGGCTTTGTCCGTTCGTACTGGCACGCATTCATTTTAAACAAACCATGGAACGATGAGTATCCGCTTGTACACCATATCGGTAAATGCGTGACTTAATCTCCGATGTCGCTATATGCATGCACTCTTTGATCTCTTCTAGAGCGGGGAGGGGGTCCGTGGAGAGGCCAATTCGGGCCCGAGCTTCATCCACCAGCTGTGCAAATTCAGCGCGAGCGGTCACCCAAGGTGGCACACTGGCCTGGAGCCGAGGCCCTGGAGAAAAACGAACGAAGACAGGAACATGATCACTCGGCTCACCAGCTTTCAAGACGTGCCCAATGATTCCAGCAGTAGGCTTGGCCTCCAAGACTGTAGCCGTGGCAGCAAAAGTATATATGCGATCAATACGTCCCAGAGACTGAATACCTCCCCCAAGGTCCCCTGTCCTACGCGTGGGCTCGCCTTGCGCCAGCTCGAGCGCGTTCGGGGAGAGCTCGCGGAAGCGCCGAAGGAGAGCAGGACGTTCAGGACGCTGATACTCACCATCAGCCCTGATTCGGGTCTCTCCTGGCTCTAGGAAGTTAAAATCGCCTGCAAGGAAATCAAACACGAGCTGCTGTGAGGGAGGGTCTTTGCGATTTTCTCGAGAACAGCAAACTTCTCAGCATCGTTGAGAGTGGGATCGAGGTGGGCATTGTACACTGCGAGGTCACCCTGAGGTCCTTGGGGAGAAAGGGAGAGGAGACGGCCGCGCACATGCTCGCAATGCTCCACATTCGTGAAGTTGGCAAGGAAAGAGTTGGCCACGCTGATCGTAGCTCCACCCGCATTCGGGTTCTCACAAAACGTGCCGAAGTGCGTGTGCATGGGATAATCCTTGCGCAGGGTCTCGAGGTCAGCATCTGTTCCATGTGTTTCTTGCTTGAGTAGAACGGTATGTGCGTTGATAAGAGTGCGGAACTTGCGAATCCGATTTCTCTGCCGCATGTGACCACCATACACGCTTCCAAAGAAGGCTCTTGAATTCCATGTGCGTATCGCCAGGTGCTGCTTAATCTGCCACGGACATTCAATGATAATGTCTGCACTGCTGCCCGAGTGGGGTGGAGGAGGAGAGCTGCACTTAAATCGCTTCCCAGGACTGCGAACGAGGGCGGAGGCGTGTGAGGGAGTATCAGCAGTATAGGCAAAAACAGATGCGGCAGCATCGGCATCATTAACACAACATGGTGCGCCTACTTCCTACCCGTGGTAGGCGCTGTTGACCGCGGCAGGCAAGTCCTGGACCTGCTGCTCTGTGAGGCCGAAAATGCGCAATTCCTGAACGCATGTCTCGACCACCACCTCCGATTCAGTCCATGACGAGAGCAACACCAAATCAATCGGCTCGTCGCGCACGGTAGTGTAGCATAGGGCCTGGTACTTGTTGCAGGCGAGCAATGTCGTAGATGTCCAGCAACCGTTCGTGCGCATGTATGCGCAGATCTGCTTCCAGATGAGCCCGAGGATGTAGCCCTTCTTCTTAATGTCATATGGTTCGTCGAAGCCGATGCGCAGGTCATGCTGCGTGCCAGTTGAGGCTTCGGTGAACTTGATAGGGTGGTCGCGAGCACGCTCGTAGAAAGACTGTGCGTGCTCCTGCGATTCAAAATTGATAGCATATGCGAATCGTAAGCTCTGACAGTGTGGGACACATTTATCACGATACTCCTGAGGCATATTGGTTTTGAGGATCGCAAAGTGTCGTTCGAATACATTATTCAGCCGCTTCTTTGGAAATCCACGAATTCCAAATCTTCGTCTTGTCAGCAGACACTGTAGGTCGCACCGTGGATGGAGTCGTGGATGGTGGAGCAGTCGAGCGACCCGATGCCGAGCCACGTGCGGCGACCCATGGGTCAGAGGGCGGCTGGTCCATTTTGCGCTGCATCTCCGCGAAGCTGGCCTCGAGACTTTGCAATCTCGCTGACGCCGGGTATGTGCTTGCCATCCCATCGACCTGCTCCGTCTCCGTATATGCTCCCTGTTGCTGTCTCTGAAGTTTGAGCTCCAGCTCGTCCATGCGTACGCTGTGGGCCTGAATGTCATCCTTCATGGAGTTGATGGTGGCTGTGTTCTGCTGAACCCCTGCAGAGAGCCGCCCATCCATCTCTTTGATGGCCGTCAGGTTGCCAGCGAGCGTTGCGTTCAGCGAATCCATCTGGGCAGTTTAGCGGCCTAAGAGTCTCATTCAGCATGATCCGAAGAGCCGCTGGGTCGAGAGCCATCGCACCGATGGAGAGCTGCACACGTTGGCGGGTACGATACACAGAGGCAAAATGCGTGTGGGTGAAATGCGAAGAAAATGCGGTGACCCCTGTCCTTGGGGCCTCTCCAGGGTCACACACGCGCGCGGCGGGCGCTGGCCACTTGAGACGGGGGGTTGAGTTCCCGATATGGCCTTGAGCCAAAATGGCTACGGAGGATGATGCTGATGATGATGACGACGATGACGATGATGATGACGACGGTGACGACGACGATGACGACGACGATGATCACGATTCTGATGATGATGATGAAGAAGATGATGATGATGATGATGATCGACCGTACCTGGATGATGATGATGATGACGATGATGATGATGATAATTATGATGATGATGAGGATGATGATGATGATGATGGTGGTGGTGATGATGATCGTGATGATGATGATGATGATAAGAATGACTGTGCTGATGGTGATGATGATGATCATGTTTATCATGATGATGATGCTGATGATGATGCTGATGGTCATTATGAGGGTGGTGGTGGTGATGATGATCATGGTGGCAATGGGAGTGATGGTGGTGATAATGAGGATGATGGTGATGGCGGCTACGATGGTGGTGAGAATGATGACGATGACGAGGACGATGACGCCTTCGGATCTCACCCGCACTCCAGCTATGGTGAGCGGGACGGCGAGCAGCGGACAAGCCCTACGCGCAGACGGCGGGAGGAGCGTAACGGCCGACGCGGCAGCGGGCGGAGGAAAAGCGACAGGGAGCGGTCGCGAGCGGGGAGACGGAGGCCAACTCCTGTGTGGGCGACGAGGGCCCACACAGGAGGCCCCAAAGGCAGAAGCGAGGGAAGGGCATCTTCGAGCAGCGGGCGCGTCCGCACGATCCCCGCATGCAGACCCCCGTGGGGCTCCGATGCACCCAGGCGTGCTGGTCACGGCAGGTTCGTGCAGCGCCGGTTTCTGACGGCGCGTGGCCGTTCAGATTGAAACGATCATGACATCATGTGCTCAATAAACATAATCGGTTCAGAAAGACTCCCTGGACACCCCCCTGGATGACCCAAAACAGCCCCTCCAAGATGCATACCATGAGCGTCCCAGCATGTGATTGTGGCTGACCCTTTGGTCAGAACTAGCTTCTACCTCAACAGGACCCCAGTCAGCACAGCTATTTGGGGAAGCGCGGCAAGGGAGGGCGTGCAAATGGAAGCGGAAGGTGGGCGCGAAAGACGAGGAACGGATAGAAGGGAAGGGGGAAAGAGAAGCGACATTTCCAGCTGGGCTTCCCTGGTTGTGCCGTGCTTTTGAGGATGATATGTATGATAATGATATGCGCACGTACTGGCAAGACGACGGGGCCTGGACAACCCCAAGGACAACCCAACACTGATCCGGACAACCCCCCGAACAACCCCCCTTGGACAAGCATTCCGAGGGTTCATGATCCAAAAAACAATCGTAGTTGTATTAATGAAAATAATGATGATAGTAATCAAAAGAAGAAGAAGAAGAAGAGTCGAATCAAGGCCACAGCCGGCCGTCCCTCAACCTTGAATGCCCAAACAGGCGTCACCGCATCCGTTCTGACCTCCAGCTCTCGAGGTCCCAGGCCTCCCGCAGAGAAAGCGAAGCCAAACGCATGGTCCCGTCCACATCCATGTCGTGGACCCCCCAGTCGCGACTCCCAGCTCGCCTCCACCACCCGCTGAGCATCGCTGATTCAATCTCAATCTCCACTGGCATGGCCTTGGCGCAACTGGCCGCCTTACCCCTTTGAGTGGGGATATCGTATGCTTGCTTCATGTTTCCGGGGCGTATCCCCACCTGACTCACTGGGGGGGGGGGGGCCCGGCGGTGCTGAGATACCATGGCCCAGTGGGGATGGGGATTGGTTAGACGATGCTGACCCGGAAGGCGTCAGCGGCGGACCTGAGCAATGGGGAGAGTGCATCGCAGTCTGCGTGGAGCTCGGGTGAACCGACTGCTCGAGCCTCCAGCAGGCAGTCACAACTTGAACCTGCCTGGCATGCTAATCGATCCCCCGGATACCCTTGATCAGATTGTCGCGCCTGATCCGCACGGGCGACTTCACATCCTCACCGATGTCCAGCCTGCCGAGAAACTGATCCATCTGGGCGATCACGTCATCTTGACTCACAGCTGCTGGAAGAGCCACGGCGTCGGTCAGGCACTTCAGGCCCTGCTCGCGTCCTACACGCTGAAAGATGGGCAGGGCCCAACTCAGGTGGTCCTGCTTGCTGACCACGCTCACAGACACAGAGCCCTCACTGACGAGGCCGCTGCCGATCCGCTCCTTCAGAACCTGGGCCACGAAGAGCGCATTCTGCTCCGTCGACGTCGAGTCCTCCTCCAGCGTCACCGAGGCCAGAGGCAGGCCCATCGAGCCGGCCACCAGCGCCATCTGCAGCGCCTCGGAGATGTAGCCCGCAGTCCTGCCGCCGCTGAAGACCACCGAGGGCCACCCGGCCTCGGCCGCCACGGGCTCCCGGCCGCCGATGCTCAGCGAGCCCGCCGGCACGCCGAGGACGAACGCCACGGCCTGCCGCACGCGCGCCAGCGTGTCCACCGTGACGGTGGTCGCGTCCAGCGGCATGTTGCCCAGCACGACCGCCACCCCGCCCTCCCGCCCCGGCTCCGGCGCGGCCCCTCCTGCGCGGGCCCCCAAACATGACCGTGCGGGGACGGACCGCGCGGCGACCTCGGAATCCCCGGCTCGCCCTCGCTCCCCGTGCATGCTTCGATCTCGCGCGTGTTTTTTTTTTTTTCTCGCAGAGCCAGGCTGCTCCTCGATGGCCCTCGCCGAGGAAGCCTGCACACCGCCCGAGCGGTGCGCGGTCCGCCACCCCGCGCGGCTTTGGGGCCTCGGATGCCCCGGCCGCCCGCGACGCTCCCGGAGGACGACACGGGCCGCCCGGGCCCCAAGACCGGGCGGTGGCCCCGAGCCCCCTCCGGCTCGCCGCGCGGCGAGGCCACCGCACCGCACTGGGGCGCCCCCGATCTCCTGCCAGGTCGCTGGGAGTGGCCCCGGAGTGGACGCCCATCCGCCTCCGAGCAGGTTCTTAGGGTGGAGGGCTCAGGGTGAAAGCCCTGCAGGCTCTTCACCTCGAAAATCCGCCGACCCTGTGTCGGCGTGTGAGAGGGGGCTTGTCCGTTCCCGTCGTTCGCTCGTCGTCGTCTCCGTCGTCTCCTGTCCCTGCGCCCCCCTTTCCCTGGGCCAGTCGTCTCCTGTTCCTGCGCTCCCCCTTTCCCTGGGCCCGTCTCCCCTTCTCCCCTTGACCCCTCTTCCCTGGGCCCGTCGCCGCTCCCCCCCGCTTTTCAAGGGCCTCCCCCTCAAGAGCAACGTCGTCATTGAGTCGAAGGGAAGCCCCTTCCCTTTGATCACTTCCCTGCCTGGGGGGGGGGGGTCCCGGGATCCCTTGGCGAGTCCCGCGCCAGATACGACTGGGGGGAGGGGGGTCCTGGGGGTGGTCCCGCGTCAGATACGACTCCCCCCTGGGGGTCCCTGGGCCCACACAAAGCCTCAGACGGGCCAAGAGCCGAGGCATTCTACCACCCCCTCTCCTCCCTCCCCCCTCCTCCCTCCTCATCTCTCCTCTGTCCTCCGTACCCCTCCAGAACCGAACCGGCCTCCTGGACGCTCGGCCACAGGACACCCCAGGACCCAGAATTCCGAGGTCCCCGGGACCCTCCAGGACCCAGCCCCGAGGACCTCCTCCCAGGACCCAGCGCCAGGAACCAGCCCCCCCAGAAGTCCAGGACTCCCAGGCCCCAGGCCCCAGGACCCCAGGACCACACCTGCACCATGCGGCCCTGCTCACCTCGTCCTGCTCCTATGCATTTCCTCCTCCTCCTCCTTCTCCTCCTCCTCCTCCTCCTCCTCCTCCTCCCTCCTCCCTCCTCCCTCCTCCTCCTCCTCCTCCTCCTACTCCTCCTCCTCCTCCTCCTCCTCCTCCTCCTCTCCTCTCCTCCTCCTCCTCCTCCTCCCCTCTTCCTGTTCCCCTCCTCCTCCTCCTCCTCCTCCTCCTCCTCCTCCTCCTCCTCTTCCTCATCCCCCCTCCTGCTCCCTGACGCGATCGGTACTTAGCCCGGGAAAATCGGACATTCCCCGGGAAAAACGGACATTCCCCGGGAGCACCGGGGAATGTACGATTCCTGCAGCGCTTCTTTTGCGAATGTTTCGAGCGGGGTCGGGCTGCAGAGTCTTCGAAAGCCAACTGGTTGGCTTACGTGTGACCATTCGGTTTCCGGAAGAACATACCGGGGAATGTCTGATCTCGGTGTGCTCGCGCGTTGTAGTACTGGTATTGGTAATGGTGGTGGACATGATAGTGGTAATGGTCGTGGTAGTGGCAGTGGTAGTGGCAGTGGTAGTGGTAGTGGTAGTGGTAGTAGTAGTAGTAGTAGTAGTAGTAGTAGTAGTAGTAGTAGTAGTAGTAGTAGTAGTAGTAGTAGTAGTAGTAGTAGTAGTAATGGTAGTAGTAGTTAGTAGTTCGTAGTAGTAGTAGTAGTAGTAGTAGTAGTAGTAGTAGTAGTAGTAGTAGTAGTAGTAGTAGTGTAGTAGTAGTAGTAGTAGTAGTAGAGTAGCAGTAGCAGTAGTAGTAGTTAGTAGTGTAGGTAGTAGTAGTAGTAGTCGTTAGTACTAGGGGTAGCCATAGCCGCCATACTAGTAGTACTAGAGTAGTATAGTAGTTATAGTAGCGTTAGTAGTAGTAGTAGTAGCAGTAGTAGTAGTAGTAGTTTAGTGTTGGTGGTGGTGTAGTAGTAGTAGGAGTAGTAGTAGTCGTAATAGTAAGTAGTAGTAATAGTAAATAGTAGTAGTAGTAGTAGTAGTTAGTAGTGTAGTAGTCGTAGTTAGTAGGTAGTAGTAGTAGTGGTTTAGTAGTACGGGTAGTTAGCAGTAGTAGTAGTAGTTAGTAGTAGTAGTAGTAGTAGTAGCCGTTAGGGGTTTAGTAGTAGTAGTTACTAGTAGTAGTAGTAGTTAGTAGTAGTAGTAGTAGTAGTAGTAATAGTAGTAGTAGTAGTAGTAATAGTAGTAGTAGTAGTAGAAATAGTAGTAGTAGTAGTAGTAGTATCAGTAGTAGTCGTAGTAGTAGTATCAGTAGTAGTAGTAGTACTACTACTACTCGTAGTACTAGTAGTAGTAGTAGTAGTAGTAGTAGTAGTAGTAGTAGTAGTAGTAGTAGTAGTAGTAGTAGTAGTAGTAGTATCAGTAGTAGTAGTAGTAGTAGAAGAAGTAGTAGTAGTAGTAGCAGTAGTAGTAGTAGTAGTAGTAGTCGTAATAATAGTAGTAGTAGTAATAATCCGCCGGCCCCCTTGTCGGGCCACCAGGCTGTAGGCGCGTGATTCGCAGTTTCCTGTACCAGTTGTAGTTTCTAGTTTTCAGTGTTACAGTTATGCTTCTTGCTGGTTACTGTAACTAGTTGACTTCTTGCTGGTTACTGTACAGTTATGCTTCTTGCTAGTTACTGTAACTAGTTAACTTCTTGCTGGTTACTGTAACTGGAGGCCCAAACAGGATTTTCCAGCGTCCCCTGGGCGCGTTGTCTGAACTGCGGGGGGGCTCGAAATCGACACCCCTCATCCGCGGGGTCAGGGTCCAAAAACATATGGGATTTGCCACATTTCTGAAATTCGGTACCACCCCTCACGCAGATCCGCGGGGTCAGGGTCCAAAAACATATAGGATTTGCCACATTTCTGAAATTCGGTGCCACCCCTCACGCAGATCCGCGGGGTCAGGGTCCAAAAACACATGAGATTTGCCACATTTCTGAAATTCTAGACGCTTCGCGTATCCCCACCAGCCCGTCCAGAAATGAGTCCCAGGGGAGTGGAGGTTATGAGGGAAGCGGGGGAGCATGCAGAAGAACAAAGGGCGGGGTGAGCCGCCATATACCCCAAGAGGGGGAGGATGTAGGAGGAGCCGTCGTCGTAGGAGTAGGAGGAGGAAGAGGAGGAGCAGGAGGAGGAGCAGGAGGAGGAGCAGGAGGAGGAGGAGGAGGAAGATAAGGAGGAGGATATGGAGAACTGCGAGGACGAGAAGGAGGAAAAGGAGAAGGAGGAGGAGGAGGAGGAGGAGGAGGAGGAGGAGGAGGAGGAGGGGGAGGGGGAGGAGGGAGGAGGAAGAAAAAGAAGAGGAGGAGGAGGACAATGGCGAGCTTGGGGGCCTCTTGGGCCCTCTTTGGGGCCTCTTGGCGGTCCCGGGGGCCTCTTGCGTATCTCGGGGAGCCTCTTGTGGCCTCTTGGGGGTCTCTTGGGGGCCTCTTGGAGGCCTCTTGGGGGCCTCTTGGGGCCTCTTGGGGCCCTCTTGGGGCGCTCTTGGGGCGCTCTTGGGAGCCTTCGAGGCGCTCTTGGGGCCATCTTGGAGGAGATCTATCAAAGAAGGGGGGGTCCCCAATTAGCGCTGCCCCTCTAGAGTGCCTCGAATCGCTTCTTGGGCCCTTCTTGAGGCCAAAATCTTTCCAAAACCTGAATAAAATCAATGTTTTGTGTTTTCTCGCCTTTTCGCTCTTGGAGCCGTCTTGGGCCGTCTTGGGAGCCTCTTGGGCCTCTTGGGGGTCTCTTGGGAGCCTTGTGGAGGCCTCTTGGGCGCCTCTTGGGGCCTCTTGGAGCGCTCTTGGGGCGCTCTTGGGGCGCTCTTGGGAGCCTTCGGGGCGCTCTTGGGGCCATCTTGGAGGAGATCGATCAAAGAAGAGGGGTCCCCAATTAGCCCCGCCCCTCCAGAGTGCCTCGAGTCGCCTCTTGGACCCCCCCAAGATGCCAAAATCCTTCCAAAACCTAGGTGCAATCAATGTTTTGTGTTTTCTCGCCTGTTCGCTCTTGGAGCTGTCTTGGGCCATTTTGAACTCTCTTGGGGCCTCTTGGGGGTCTCTTGGCAGCCTCTTAGAGGCTTCTTGGGGGCCTCTTGGGGTCTCTCGGGGCCCTCTTGGGGCGCTCTTGGGGCGCTCTTGGGAGCCTTCGGGGCGCTCTTGGGGCCATCTTGGAGGAGATCTATCAAAAAAGGGGGGG